ATTTGAAATTCCCCTAGGTTAAATGCATTTTAAAATCCACTTTTTAAGCATTTATACAATTAGCCATGCTTTGCTGTGATGTCATCCAGCTAGGCAAGACATGTTTCAGTGAATAGGCTTTTTCAGTTCAAATTAACTCACTGAAAACGTTTATCAAGAACGGATGATTGCTATGGCCTTACACAACAAATCACCTCAGAAGCGTAAATTTAGGCCAGCGAAATCTTCAAAACATGTAAGAGTTTTTGTGCTTAAACCTATGTGACATTGAAGTTTCTTCCTGGATGACATCACAGTTTTGCTTATAAATATGGAAATACTCAAAAAGGCAGCAAAAAGCCATTTGAAATGGTGAAACTAACATAGAAAGTGATGTTATCCTAGATATAAAGGTTTATGTTAAAGGATTTCCATTGCAACTGCCCTGTAATTGTCAGATATTTTCCCAGGCGGTGGCAAAACAAAATCCACGTTTTTATCTTTTAAAATAAGTTAAGCTCAGTACATAAGTCAAAACACACAAAATTTGTCTTCAAATGTGCAACATGTCCTCAAAAAAGGAAGGAAACAATAATATATAGCCGCCTTCGAGAAAATGTACTATAGTTTTATATGAGTATTTTGTTTATAAACGTAGACAGTAGGAAGACTTGTGGATTAGAAATTACTCGTTTTGTTTTGATGGACTACTTTTCTTTATTAAAGAGAAAGAAATACATGCAGACATTTTAATCGGTGTTATAATCACGGTACGTCCCAATCATGAGACTGATCATCTCAGAAGGCAAGGAAGAAGATTATAACACCGATTAAAATGTCTGCATGTATTTCTTTCTCTTTGATAAAGAAAAGTATTCTGTCAAAAAAACGAGTAAATTGAAACTTATGAACAACGTGTGTCACGTGGTTGCAAGTTTTATCGAGAGTCAAGAGGGAGGTTTAGATGTACGTATTACGTAAACGTGAACGCAATGAACACTCGACTAAAAGGACACATGATCAATCGCATCAGGTAAATCTCTCTAAAGAAGTGTAATCGGTCGTCATAAACCAAGCATGAAAAAGTCCCTGTTGCGTAACCTTTGCACTTTCCACAAGTGTCAATTTCATATCAGCAAATGTTCAATGCATAATTTTAAACCCTCCAAAAAGTTGCAGTTTCTCGCGTTTTGATCCAACGTGAACTTCCCATGTTTCATGTATTGGACGTCCGTGTGAACTACCCGTATGTAAGAGACAAAGAAATGTTCCTTATTTTTATGAGGAGATAATTGTAATATAGTCATGAAAGGACTCCAGTATACTGAACACTGCCCCAAAATAGGGATACGGCCAACACAGGGCAGATTATTAAACTTTCCTCCGACTATGCACCGACCTAACAAAACTTGGCAGGAATGTTGACAAGTTATGTTTGTGCGCCCGTATCCTCTAAAATAACGAGAAACAGACACAGTAATATTCGTGAACCCTACATACTATTAATGATGTTACATTAATTCTTTATCTGAATACATGTAGCCTTCTTAATGGTGCTTGCAAATTTGTCGGAGTAGCTGACTCTAATGACACCTACTATTTCGCGCTAAAATTTTGCATGATCTGTTTCTATGAGACCTACGTAGCAAATTTGTAATAGTCTGTTGCAGACATTCTGTTGCCAAGGTTTGTATAAATAAGGGTGAATATGAACGAAGTGGCAACGTGGCAGCCATAACTATCCACTTTTGTTCCTTGTAAGGGCCAGTTTACAGTCAGTGTGAAAACGAATTTGAATTTGAAAATGAATTTTATGCCTCATCAAAGTCGAACATATTTCAACTCAAATGATCTTTGATGAGAACGTTTCGTGATATCATACCCACTTCACTTTAGCATTCATCTGAAGAATGAAGCGGCTTTAACGGACGAAATTCGGAAAGGTTTTATTTTGAACCAGACATTTTGCTAAGGCAATTCCTGGAGTTTTTTCATCGGGAAATGAATCCTAACGAAACTTTTCATGTATAAATTAGTTGTTGGGAAAGAGTTAGTACTGGCTCGATATAGAGTTACTGTGAATCGAAAGTTTCTGCGCTCTCTGGGAAGTACTGAGCGCCATGAACATCGCCCCTGAAATGTTGTTCAACGGCATTCCCCACCAGCATACAGAATAACACGGGCCGGTCTCTTGGAAAGCCGTTGGTGTTCCTGGTCACTCTTGATCACAGCCCATTATACAGTACATCATGGGAGGTGAATCTTCAAGCTGAAAAGGAGGACAGGAAATGGCTGCCGTTGCCGTATGTTATTCCGAAGACACAGTATTTGTGAAATTAATGATTCTTATTTCTGAAACGTACCGTCACCCATTTTTGCAGTTTTTTGCTTTGTTTTTGTTTTCTTTTAATAATAACTGAGTGAAGAAACTTGTCAAGTTCCGGCGTATTAGGAACAAGAAAACAAGAAAAAGGGGCCTCGAAGTTCAGTCTTTTCCATCACCTTATTTTGTATGAATAAGGGGTTATTTTGACAGGAAATGTAGGCCTATTCGTTAAATTGAGACGCATTTCGCGTACGGCACATTCGCTGTAAAAACCAATGGAAATGTCCCATGTCTAATATTCAACTAATTTTACTGTAACCGAAAAAGAAATCCGTAATGTGATTGGTGAGTTGCAGATCACATTTTACAACACCTGCATAGCGCATAAATCCCCGTCATGTGATAAGTGGATTCGTTGATTGCGTCATTGAATAACTCGTCTGTACCCGTTGAAAAGAAAATCAGTTGACTTGACCGGTTCCCGCTCCTATTTCGTACATTTCATTTTCAGTAAGAAAGAGACAAATAAAATACTATAGGGTCGGTAACCAGTCTAAAATTACACGTTACAACCAGTGGGTGGCGCTTTCAACACGAATTTGTTTCGCAAAATGGACGTTAATACGCGAGGATCGATTAGATGGAAGAGGAATAAATTACGTACTACAAAGAAACAAATCAAATTTGCTGCCAAACGATTAAACGGATACTCAAAACAGACAGGGACATCTGTTGAGGCATTCACTGATTGACATAGGCAACTTTTTGTAGTGATTTTACGCAGGAGAAGGGAAAACGCCACGTTGCACATAAAGAAGTCAATCCAAGCCATCTGATTTATGCTGGTATTGTATTATACGAATAATTATGAGTGCATTGGTAAGAATAATTTCATGAGATTTCAGATGAAATGTTCCTTCGCACAAGGCAAAGCCAAGCGGAATGGAACATTTCATCCATCGAAATTGCATGAGTTTTTCGTTTGCCCAATAGGACCACACTGCTTTAAAATAAAAAATGATCTTGAACTCACGAAATACAGCTTAAAGGGCCCTATGAACATTTGAGAAACGTAATTGGGTTCTTAAATATGTAATGGCTTAGTATTAAATTACATAGTTGCGACTGTATTGTTTTGCAACCATCAGCCTCGTTTTGGTCCAATTAATATGGCGGGGGGGGGAGCGACAACGCAAATTCCAAAGCAGTCCTTAGTATGCAAGTACTCCTTCAAATTCGCATAGGCCTATAGCATTTTTAAGACTGATGACCTGAATCGCTCGTGAGCAAAAATCTGCTGAGTAGTCCTGCAGCCAACTGGATTTAGTTGCGTTGCTGTGTCTTGTCAGAAAATTGAGATATGTAGCCTCCTTTCTGGACCTCCGTCAAACTATGCCTCGAGATCCTGTCATAAAATGCCTAACGATCCCAGGGCATTCGACTAGCGAATAAAAAAAAAATATTCTAATTTTTTTCGTCCCCCATTATAATTTACAAGAAGGAAGTTTTGTCATCGAACACTGCGCAAGAGCTGAAACATTAATCTAGATTCGTTGCAATCGAATTCTGAAAATGGATTCTGAAGGAAAAAAAAGTAGTCAGTTCAGTCAATGCCTTGTTTACATCAAGATAAGGTAAGAATGATTAACCTAGTAGTACAAATCGGATGCGAAGATTTTTTTTGTTGAGTGAAAAGTCCCGAAAATTGACTTTCCTTGGAATCATTACATCAGCCCAATTAAAATTAGAAACAATTGTTCATAAAACCTCTTCGGGGTATCACTATATAGTCAGTATATAGTCCGAAAATGTGATTTCAATATTTGTCATGCCCTATTTTCTCAAGCACAGTGCTCACAATGACTGTTACTCATAATCGTAAATGTCGGTTACAAATACAGTACATGCTAAATTATATGCGCCGGAAAATTTCATACACATGAAACTTAATGCAGTCTTGCTATATGTATTCGCACATGAATCTACTTAGAAAGTTCAAAATAAGGTAATTTATTTCACCTGGGAAAGACTGTAATAGTTTGCAGACATGAAGAAATAGCAACTGAAATTTTGAGATGAGACACATTGGACGTGAGTCATCGAATATAAGTAAAAACACACGAGCGACAGAAATTCCCACCTATACTCCAGAAATGTTCGGTTGCCGTTAGTTTTTAAGATGACATAAAAATTGCGTTGTGTCCCTAGTAAATACGACTTACAGTCGCTTCTTCAGTTTTCCGTCTATAGGTATTGTTACTACTTGTATGTCATTGTATTTATTGTGTCATTGAATGTTTTGAATATGAATAATGCTGTCATATGAAAATTGTATAAGAACTCACATTTTATGGGCTCCACAGTATTCTGAAAAATTAACATTTGTCATTGAATTTCTAGTTCATCACTGGCAATTGAAAAACTTCAGTATGCAAGCGGGTCCTCATTTCGCTGTCAAAGAATGACAAGATCATCAGAACCTCCTCTTGCTTATATACTTGTTTGCTTGCTCGCTTGCTTACTTGTTCCCCCCCCCTTGCTCGCTTCCTCACTCGCTCACTGACTCGCCTGCCAGTTTGTTTGTCGGGGTGTTTGGGTTCTTTGTTGGTGTGTTGGGTTGTTTGGTTTGTTTGTTTGTTTGTTTGATAGATAGATATATAGATAAAGCAAACGATTTTTGCGTACTTTGCCTTAGATGAAGCCAAGAGACGACGTGAGAGAACGGAGGCATTCGGCATTCTGATGGCGGGGGCCGTCATCTTCACCATAATCTTTGTAGCTCTACACTGTGGTGGAGAGAATCACGCCATCAAGGTACGGGCAGTAGCCCCTATCGAGCCCGCTAGACACGCCCAGGCATCCGCTATCTTTGCCACTCGAGCAGGCACTGCAGGTCGAAGCATGACAGGACCAATAGTCCACGTGTAGTTAGGGAAAATCCCTGGTGCTTCATTATTTTATGTCTGTTTAAATTGCCAAGCAATTTAAAATGCAAAGCATTTTGGCTTTTCTTTTAATGCCTTTCAAACAAAATAAATTGCAATTGGTTTTGTATTTTGTATTTTTGTATAGGCCTATTTTATAAAAGTGCGGCTTACATAATTTTGATTAATTTCATTCCGAAACGACTCAACGACAAGAAATATACAATTTTATGGTTTGAAGTTTTTATCAGAGCACTCAGTTCAGTTCTTCTATGTGAGTATAATTTGTATAAAATATCGTTAAAGACGCAGTCATGTACACACGTTTGACCCAATGTCTTGATTTAGGTTTGTGGAATTGTCTTATCTCAGCGAAATCTGTAAGCTGAGTGCACTGTGAAATGCGTGGGTGTGATTTGCAATTATGTAACCCATCCAAGGAAGATAACCTATAATTACACTATTTCTGTGCTCAGTGGTAAAACAATTTTATTCAACAATTTTCTCTGCTGACAAACTATGGGAGAGTATGTCAAACATTGTGTTCGTCGTGCACTAGGGGTGCATTAAAAAGATAATATAAATGTATATAAATCATTCCTTTATCAAGTTGGCCACAATACCGCGATATGGCTTTAATTAAATAATTGAGAGATAAAAATGTGTTTAAAATAAACACTTTTCACAGACATGGGAGCTTATTTTAGGCATTTTGTTTCCCATTCACGCCGTACATTGCGAATCTGGGAAAACGCGCACGTGGGAAGAGATTTAGTAGCTATGTGAAATACAAATGCGGATGTGAACACACATTCTTCCCACAAATTTTCTGATTCACAGTGTTAACTTTCAATTACAATGTGCTGTATGTCACCTTTGCAATTTACACATTGTGGTGTGTATTGTGATGCACTGTCATTTATCCAAAAGACAATGGATATTAAGCCGTCGCTGGCAACATTAACTAAACAATATTTAGGCTGCTACAACTAGACAGCGCCCTCTTTGATGACTATACACGAGCAAGCCTATAACACTTACTAAATTATTGATAGATTAGGATGTTCCTTAGTCTAGTGGATAGCACACACACCTTGCAATCGCATTCTCAACTAGGGTAGATCCCCAACCATCGTCCTTGATGTTATGAAAAACATTCTTCTTTTGTTCATTTTAAATTGACTCCAACATTTAATTACAGATTTTTACATTTTTACTTCAAGTTACTGCGCATGAGCCAGCAAAATATTTGAATAAGTTTGCTGGCGACGGCTAATTATCCACTGCCCATTCAAAAACTGGCAAAAGTCATAGAAGTCCTGTACGCGGTCGTTGTAGTGCATGATGGAACAAAACGTGTAATTGGCTGTTACAGTGGTTGCGTAACGAGGTCATTGTGGATGCACGCCATGTGGTGACGCCGTTGTAAATATTATGGCTCTTCACAATTTCAAGAAAGTTACTGCCTTTTTTCCAGTTCGGCTAACACAGTAATGCAATATAATGTCAGTATTAAACTGCGCCATAATTCAAAAGTTTGCTTTTAAAAAAGAAACACGGGATAAATCGAAAAAAGAAAATAACCAAGCCATATTTAGCTCCTAGAATTACACCCATTTGGAATAGGAAAGTACATTTTGGGGAGTGAAGTCATATTTTGAACAAGAAAGATTCCACAGGACGATTGGTATTATCCAACGAAGGTGTGAGGTTAGCGTCTCTAAACAAAGAAAAAAAAATACAGCGTAAGAGTACTTAGTTGTTTATTGAAGAAATATCTTACCGCACTGGGACACCAAACAACCTTAATGAAAGAGCAAGTAATTTGTCCTTTTTTTAACAACAGCTAGCAACTTTCAGATATTTAATAGAAATTTTGACTCTGCTTTTTAAACCTAAGTCATCTTCTAGCAAAAAACTGTATCACGTGCGTTTCAGCACACTTGTCATGGTTTTTATTCTTTTTTTCAATACCTACTGAGCGGGGTTTTTATTTGTTAGAAAAAATACGCATTTAAAAGTATTTTGAACTTAATGGGAAAATATGAATCAGTGATAATGCCATTTGATGGATAGCATTATTAGCCCCTACTTCTCTGGTGGATCATTTTGAAAAGTTTTTTTATGAGACAAATTTTACTCGGACTCTTTAATGTATGAAACACAAGACACAATCTTATCTGTTTCTGGCCACAGCTTTTTAAATTTATTTTGGAACTTAATTGCCAGATACCGAATTCGTTTGGGCAAGCAGGCATCAGAAATATGGGCTAGACAGGTCCCAAACATATCAACCACACAATTAATGGACGCTCAGGTCCGATGTACATCAATTTCCATTTGGCACCCAGGCCAGTCATTTTAATTCAAAGGACACCCAGGCCTAAAAGCAATCATTCTAGAGTACAACCATGGTTTGCAATATGCAATTGAACACACAGCATACCAGACCCCCATGGGTACATAAGAGGGAGCGGCTGACCTTTACAATCAGTGTGTAATACACAGATCCGTATGGGCAACAATATTCACTGTTAACAGTAACCATAATAATAATAAATATCAAATCATGTATGTATTAGTAGATGGCTGTCTCCAAATCCCGTTAGAAAACGCCATTTCTTATTAATGAAACTCGCAAGGCAAGGCCGGGGCTGGGGTGGTGGTGGGCAAATTGAACCAGCTTGCCTAGTTTGCTGTGACAGAATGACCCAAGCAACGTACATTCCTTCCTAAACTAGGATTGTATACAATTAGTGCCTTGACCATTTGCCTGATTGGTCAAAACACTTGGCTGTGATTGGCTAGCACTCTTGGCTGTGATTGGTTAAAAGTCTTAACTGTGATTGGTCGAATCTATGAATAATTAGTGCTAGAACCTCCACAGAATCCCAACTTTGTGAAACCCTTAATTTAAAACTACAATATAGAGGGGTAAATTGAGTGTGGAAACAATGCAAATATGCGCACAATTATGATATCTGCTTGAACACTGAATATAACCAGCCAGGACGGTTAACATAAAAATAAACTACTTTTATTCCCAATAAGCTCGTGAACTCATGTTTAGCCAAGTATAAAGTATTCTGACAAAATATATACATTGTGACAGAATTTCATATGTGATATGACCGGTTATCATCTCCCACCACCAGCTCCGTCTGAAGTAATGTTGCTGGGCCAATTCTGTTACTTCACTCCTCCTCAAACCATTCACGGTACGCTAATTTTCAGGGCACGCTAATCTGTAATAATTCAGCCATTGTCTCTGTGTCAACATAGCTGTTGGGACTGAATACATGTCTGCCATCGGCCATTTAAAGCAAGTATGTTATTAGATCTTTGCAAATTAGATCTCTAAAATCTATCACAGTCTTAACGAAAAACACTCCTTGCAGTAACGATGCCTTTTCTTGCCATAAGCTCATATCAAACAATATGCATTTTTTCAGTTTTGGCATTAGTGTTGACAACCGTTAAGAGCGTTTATGTATTTTGAAAATATGATAATTATAACCTACTTCAACGTACAGAACTGCAGGTTCAGTTGTCAGTGATTGTGTATCTGAATATGACGTACGGTACGCTAAAATCAATCGAACGTCCTGGATAATGAGTGAAGTGACCAATCCTTTTCAAGCTAGATGTAGCATATTGAAACTTCATCCCCGAGCTCCAGTAATAAATCATGCACTGTCACTTTAAGTGAAGGACAACGACGCAACAAGTAGGTAGAGACGCCTCAGAGCTAGTTTGTGCGCGGTCGTGCGTCCTCCACACCCCTATGCACATTTCCAACACGGAGCTCGCTGTCATACAATTAATCGAATAGCCAACCTCACTCATATTCATCAGTAAATCTAACAGAGCAGACCACTTCGAAAACAATATACTGAGCAGTGGCCGTACATTGTAGGCAGGTTAGATCATTAAGTCAACAAATTATTGTAAAGAATGTAAAATAGAGGAAATGCACGATATAACGATGTTCAGGGTCTTCCGATGTTATAATAATAATGGTCACGTAACTTGAGTAAGAAATGGTTGTTATTGAACAGATTCCTGGTGACTGATCGCAATTGAAAAATTCCAATCAGACTGACAAAGTACTAGGCTGCAAGAACTGGACTCTCTCATTTCGATCTACATTGTGCATAAAACAAAGAAATAACGGTCGGTAGATTTGGGGTCTTCACGCATTAGCAAAATTAAGTGTACATGTGTACGTAATCTGCAATGACAGGTCTTACCCAACGTATGACCTTATTTAACCACTGATTGCGCACGAATTCTTAATGTCATCATACAGTATGTGTTTCTTGTTATCAGTGGTCTTAGAAAAAAGATGAATAAACTATGCTGTGGATAAATTCCAGTTACATAATTGAACCAGTAAGTTTACCTGTGCTTGTAAACTTCGATTGTTACAGCAAAGAATCTAAGATGATCGAGTATTCTTGAAGTAATTGCAGACGTATGTTACCTTGCAGTTAGCCTACATGTATTGCAAAATGCCCGAAACGTAAAAACAAACCCTATAATAAAAAGCAAGGAAGTTCAGTGCGTATAATGGTGATTGTAAGAATTGTGGTTTTTCGTCAGCGTATTTTCTCTAAACCGCTCAATACTATTGGTTCAATGTTTTTCCTTTTTCAGGACTTGGTCGCACATTCGACGTCAACTTCTTGCAGATTAGGGGTGGAAAAGTAACCGGATAAACTTACACGTGCAGTGTACACATTTACTGACTAACAACAAACTTCTACAATTATAAAGTAAATCAATAAAAGGCATATGTATAAAATGAGCAAGAAACAATGGTAGTAACCTAAATAATCAGCAGCAATTATTTTGTTCTTCCCTAAATGCATGAAGAAAATTGCAACCGAGATAAAAATGTCTCTACGAGAATCAGTTGTGTCTGAGACCAAGTGTCATTTATCGAAAGACTTTAAGTTGGCCTCCTAGTTCCCTTTGACCTTGGGGATTTACACGACTATCCACAGTTTAGTCCAAATGTCACAATTTGGATATTAGCCACTTTTCTGCCGTACGGGGAAAACAAAAAGATTCACCTTATCAAGAAGGCAGTAATCAACTTTCCTTTTCTTTCTCAATTCTGAAAGTAAACAGGAAATACAAACAAACAAATGAGTAACAAACCATGTTTGTTTTTCAATGTTTGAAATAATGACACACCATTGGTAACTATGCATTCAGCATTTTTTCTGATGTTTATCAGACTACATAAAATAAATAATTCCATAACTTGTCCTAGGCCAGTAAACGGAACACTATCAAAACGTTTCTGAATTTCCAACTTCCAGACATTACGTTTATTCATCGACTCAAAAAAAAGTTAGAGCATAACATTCCAACTATTTTGTCTTTTTCACTCCAACCCTTTATAAGCCTGCCTGTATTGCATACTTCTATCTATGAGTACACCAACCACCATTGGCTGTTTATTGCTTGACTCTACCCGTGCAAAAATTGGGCTGGCCCATAAATCGATGCGTACAATTGTGTTCCACACGTCTTGACGAAACTGCTTCAAAGTGACTATCAAAATTAAAAAAATAAATTTAATCTTTATTTATATGGGTCTCTTACTATATAAAAATTAACTACTGCATCGATTCATCCATTGAATTTACCTTTTGAAAAGGAGCTCTGGACACGCATTACCACCGCTGTCGGAAAACGCCTATGCGGTGATTGCGCAGATCAATAGGATCGCAAACGACCACTCTGATTTGCTGCCAATCAGCGTGATTTGTACATTTATCTCTCAAAACTGAGCAAAAGTGACGCCCGCACAGTAAAACTGACGTAGCAGACCGTCTTTAACCCCTCTGGTACAAAAAAATAAGTTTCTGACACATTTTAAGCAAAGTTACGAAGAAAAATAATTAATCTTTATTTTGGCTATCGAACTGAATTCATATGTACAGCAAAAGTTAAGATATAGAGGTAGGAACTCCCCAAAGACACTGTTTTGTGAGGTTTTGGAGACGATTTTCGGCATGTTACAAATCACTTATAGGCATATATTGTACAGGGGCAGCATATTTTACTATTTCGTTTTAGCATTTCGCATGTTTATGAAGGTATTACAACAATATATTGTTAAATATGTTACACTCTTGATAATATAGCATATATCATTTCACCCACAGTGAAACTCAATGGAAAAAGAAGTCTAGTTGGTTAATAAGGCAACTTTGTGGTACACCTTTCTCAGAATTTAGAAGATAAAATACATTTAGATCATACTTTATGAAAAGTTATGCTCTAACTTAAAACATTAAAAGCAAACAAAATGGCGGAATGGTACGGATGAATATACACAACAATCTAATTACATATGACTTTAAGGACTCGTTCCGGCGAAGAGTAGACATGTTTTCACTGCAGCTTCGTGTGCGTGACACCACCGTTATTCATCGAAGACAATGTATTGCAAAAGGCTGGAAGTGTTAATACGTAATCCAGTGTTATGTTACGTATTTCTCCATTGCTACTTTGTCGGCCGTTACATAATTGAATCAGCTATGAACAGAAGTTTCACTAGCCCTTTCTAAATGGTTCGTGTTTGAAAGAAAAAGCCTTGGTAAATCTGAAAGTGTACTTTTGCTTGATATCGCGCGCACGCGTCATGTACACGTAAACAAATTAAATCGAATGCAGTTCGCTGCTCGTTGAAGTTTTTTTTCATGAATGCACAGTGCTATAGTGTCGAATGGGCACAGTACTCCACAATTTTCTGATTACTTTTGGCCGAGGAAAAAGTACTCTTTTAAAACGAAAAAAGCAACTGTTGTTGGCAAATTGACTTTGCATGTGCGTCGTTCACTCACAGTAAAATGCAAAAAACCAATGGTGTAGTGTACCGTATGTTACGGTGCAGAAATGACTATTTATAACAGGTGCGGCGGTTACTTGACCAAACCCTCGTAAGCTATAAAAAAACTTTATTATATTGAGCTATATCAATTGCAGACTTCAAACGCACGGAATTCACAAAATACATGTATTCAAAAGGAAACTCCTCCCAACATTTGCCACTAGTATGTTATAATGTTTAGTTTTTACAATTCCGTTTTGTGCTATAATCGGCACATCTAAAATGTGTAAAATCACTTTTTTCCTTCAAATATTTGGTACTGTACTAGCGGGATGCCGCACTTTGCGCGGCACCCGCTAGAAGTAACAAAGTAAGTGGAAGTAAAGAGGTAATATTTTTTCCGATGACACCGCAATCTCTGGATTTGGACAATTTTCAGATTGATGATGCTCAAACAGACCAACTTCGTAAGGGGAGTGGCCCGGTGAAGTGTAAAAAGGGGCCTTCGAGAAATATTAAGCAGAAACCAACTCATGCCTTCTTTAAGTTGAGTCTGAGTAAAGTCTGCTGGGTCGGCTGTTATACTCAGCGTTCTAAGGATAGGAACGATATATTTAGGCTAATGTAAATGGAAAGCACCGTTTGGACATAACACGTTTTGTTTGCCTTTTTAATCCACACCAGTGTAATTTGACTGACATTATTCTATTGGCATCATTAAGAAGAGAAAAATACATATAGACAAAACAAAAGATTATCCACCAGAAAAATTAAAAGACGAAAATACTCTTGATATGCAAGACATATAAAAGTGATATTACAGAGGGCTTAAGTGAACGTGTATAACAATCGTTTTCAGCTGCAGCTGGCACGTCATCTGAATGCTTCTAACATTTACCAACATCAGCGTTGTGTGATGTTAAAAAGGTGTAAAAGTTGACGGTGTTCCGGAGGACGTCAGGCCCGCGCCCGGCCCCTGTATAAGGGAGGAATTTGTGGAGTGGTATGCCGGCAGGGGAACATACTTTGTAGATGACAGCCTAATGATGTCTACAAATCTCAAACTTAAAGCCCTGGTCCTACGATGTTGGAAAGTCCGAAATTGAGGCTTACGTCTAAAGATATAATGTCAATAAAGACAGGGCCGAAGGAAAATGTAGCGTTTCCTCTGTATTAAAAACGCCTCAAAAATTTGAGTTTTTGAGGGCTACCAAAGAGCGTTTGTCAAAAAACCTGGCTACGTCACGTCGTTCATTTGCAACCGTTGACATTTTTAGATTTACCTTGTCACTGCTGTGGATATTTGAGTTTTTCAATTAAAATTTAATGTTAAGCTACTTTTAGTTTGAAATAACTTGTTATGAAGACCTATACAAATACTGATGTGAATATTGTGGCTTTGTTTAGCAAATAAACAATGGAGGGTTTATCTATGATTGAGGAATTCCGCGGTATTGATGTTTTGGTAGTGAAACCGTGACAGTGAACAACTGTGCGCGATATCTGGGCAGAGGTGTCATGTGAACTCGTAACTCAATGCAACCATGCACTTGAAAACATATTGTCATAGAAATCTGGGACAACAAACCAAATCATGATGTTTTTGCCTGGAAGATTTGTGGGGTTAATCAAGACATGCATATTGAAAAGGCCTACAGAGATTCGCCATGGCTGACACCAAAAGAAGTACTTCACTAAAGAGTAAGTCAAGTTCAAGTGCTAAGCCATTCTCATTAGTCTAATTCTCATAGGGTGAAAGTAATTATGCCCATACTTGAATTGGGAATTGATAATACTTAGGCCATAATCTGAAGAGTGCGGCCCTATTTTTAGGCCCTACGTTCTTTACTGACCGGTACTGGGCTCGTCTGCACGAAGATCTGTACGGGACCGTTGCACACACTCCCAATGGCAAAGACCGTTCTACACGGCCACAGGACCGGTCAATGGACGTACGTGATACAGACACGGTTCGGGAGGGCGGCTGGGGGGTAAAAAAATTCCACGCGCCGGGAGCCCGGCCACCAGCCCCGCACAAAACGCAGAGGCGTAGCCAGGGCACCGCTCGCAACATGGCGCGGGTCAAAATTTTCACGCGCCGAGACTGCGGCCACCCACCCCGCACAAAACGCGGCTGCGACACCGCTCTGAACATGGACGGGTCAAATAATCCGCGGGTGCGCCAGCACCTCCGCTAGCAACCACGGAAGACGGACCGGGCACCAGTGGGTTTCTTTCGTAAGTAGTATTATAAATGACATTGCTAGACCACGAGGGGAATTCCCCCCAAAGCGATTCAAGATCATCTCAAAGATTACACAAACATCACGAGGCGCAAAAAGAACATCTCAAGCGTATTGTTGAGACACAGCATTTAAATGTTACACCCACAGGACGCAACGGACGATACACAAGATTCGATTACATACGCGCCATTAAAGATTATACAAGTCATGGTAAATTGATTGCGTTGACATAACGAAAACCACAAGATATAAAAACAATAGCGTCAATTTTGAATTAAAACCGAATCAAATTATTGCAGACGTAATGACATTTTACAATTATTACAGCAAACTGATTCGCAACAAATTGTATCGGCTTTGGCCGAAATCGGTCCGCGTCGTCGAATTAAACTTCAATCGTCAATGGTGGTGGATTTTTTAAACCAGAACGCGAGCCCAATGACGACCGAGACAAAAGTTTACAATACACATTTAATACGATTTATATCACTGTAACTCAACGCAGCACGTTAGATCAAATTATAATTAAGCACAGAGACAACTTTATTGAACAAAATGAACGTCAATAAAGGTTCGGGTTACATCGTTGACGAAATAAACACATTTTACATTAACATTGTTAGGCTTAAATACGGCGACATTGGCGGAAGCAGTTATGACGAACTCGACAAATTTGTTAAAGCCGTCATTAACATTAAAAATGAAGATCAACAATGCATACAATGGTGTCTGAGGGCAGCACTTGGAAAATATACACCAGACGTTGTACAACGGCTCAAAGATAAACCAAATTACAAAATAAACGAAGACTGAACAACGAA